TCTCAAAACTTAAAAATAAAACGCGGTATTTTCACTAAAAATCTAAAATTCCCGAAAATACTCGAAACACAGTTTTCAACTTTGGTTAACACTGATCCCCCAAATAGCCTTTCCTTGTGTCGAAAAGTTGATTTTTAATGGAGGAAACGGCAAAATACGCGCCAAATTTTATTATTTTTTCACTGATTTCTCGGAAACAAAACAAAATTTTCCAAAAAGGATGCTTAACCTTTTCCCACAAGTATCGCGATCAGAATGAAGTAAAAGAAAGAATTTTATCTCGAAAACCGTAGGACTAGATAGGTTCATAGAACTGACCGACAGCCCCTTTACCATTCTGCTCGTACTCCGCAGATTCTGAGTCCATTTTAGCTTCTAAAGTTACCAGAAAAAGTTACCAGAAGTCACAAACTTTATTCAGGACTGGTAGGTGAGGGAAAAGCTTTGGGCAGAACACTCAAAAACAATCTGGTATTGGGCCAATGCTCAGATCGTGTTGGGCCATGGCCCACTGGTCTCTCCCGTAGTTATGCCTGTGATTTCTGGCGAGATCTATCTCACAACTGCAGAAAAAGTTTGCTTAGTTTTTTTTCTCTCTGCATCAGTAGATATTTCAGTCATCTCTTTGAATAATTTTCCTTTTGTGGTTAAAAAAGAATTTTCTATTTTTCTGTCTTGTGATTGGCTTATCCATGGAATATCTGGCAGCCATTTTTCCATATTTTGTGCACGGACAGACAACCAGATTTTGTAAGACTCTAGACTAATAAAAGTCAACAACGGAATTTCATAAGACTCTAGACTTAAGTCAACGGAATATAAGAATATGCATATTGTGCTGTACCATGTCATGAGCAGAAAAATACAGTTCATTTAGAGTCGCGGAAAAGTGTTTTTTCGTATTCAATACACTCGACAAAGAAGCTTTTCTATTTTTGGCGAGGGGTACTGCCGAAAGTTTAGACAAATTTTTCGATCGGGAAAATAATATCAGTTTCAAAATTTTGTCAGGCTTCAGAGGATCATTGCATTATTATTCTTAAGTATTCTTAATCTAAGTCTTTGTTTTGACTGAGTTGTTTGTCGTAACTTCATGGAGCATGATTTTTCATTGACATCTGTAGAGCTGTCTTAAGTCAGTCCTGCACAACGGCACTAAATATACAACATACTAAAATAAACTTCAATAAAGTTCGTGATTTTTTCTCTTATCCTATGTGAAAAATCAACAATAACTGCGTCGGGTATGAAGAACGGTATCTATCCATAGCCTGTTGTTTCTGAGGACAGATTCGTGGTTGTAAAAATACGTTAAAAACTAAATGTAAACATTTAAAAAGCGAGCAAACAACTGTTTGAGCTAGAAACCGAATAAGTAACTAATATTTTCTCTCGCTACGATTTACATATTTAAGCTTATTTTCTCATATAAATCGCTCTATTTTCGGGCAGAAATGTGCTTTTCAATTTTTCTAGCACTTTACAACAAATTTAAAAAGATAACAAAATAAATATAGCAGCATTTGTTGATTTTAAAGTTTTTCTGATTTACTGAGAGAATTATTTTAATCATTCAATAATTTAATAATATAGCCAAATAGGTGACATTATTGTAACCGATCTGTTCCTGATTTTCGAACGTCAGTCATCCAATTAAAGACACCACCGTAGAAGAACTTAGCGAACAAATAAGCACTGTTCTCTTTATTTTATTGCGTATTTCCTTAAACATATATCTTTCTTTTGTTAGCTTTAGATACAAATTGTGTTGACAATTATATTCTATTTGAATCAATCATGGTGTTTGTACCACCTCGAAAACCACGAGCATTGATGAGAGAACGGTAATTATTTGTTCGCTTTGAAATTCATTCAGTTTGTTTTCTCTATTTTTCTATAGTGTCCAGCAACCAAATGGAGTTATTCAATGTCAGAAATGTTTGGAAAAAGGTCATTGGACATATCAATGTACGAAAAAACGAAAATATACTGAAAGACCATCGAGAACTCAAATATTAGAAAAACGTATTAAACAATTAAAACAAGCTCAAGAAGACACAAAAGAAAAGGAGTCAAAGTGAGTGATAAGAAATAATTCCTTTTCTAGGAACAATTGTTCTCATTGTTTGTCCTTTTACCTTTTATTTTAGAGAAAAAGCTGATGAATTAAAACAAAAAGAACGGATGGCGTAAGTGATAGTTTAAACTTTGCTCTACGTGTAAGATCATTATATATCATTTTTTTAATTGTTTAGAAAAATAATGTCATCGGCTGGAATGGAAAACATTCGTTTTGAAAAGAAAAAATCGTCTAATAAGAACAAAGATGACGACGTATCAGACGCTGAATCCACATCGAGTTCCAGTTCTGATAGTTCAACATCTTCGTCGGATTCATCATCATCTTCTTCATCGACAACTTCGTCATCGAGTGCATCCGAAAATGAACGTCAAAATGTTAAAAAACGAGCTAAACTGGAGTAGATATTGGTTTTTAAATTTAATTTTGTATCCAGAAAAATGATGAAAAATGTGCATTTTTGTACAAGACATGTTTTATTTACTGTTTTGTTTTTTTCTTTTCATTGTTGTTTAATTAAAGATATAATATATTTGTACAATATGATGGTTACTTTATTATTTGAAGATTATTATAAAACTGATTATTATTGCTTCCCAAATGTTATTTCTCATATAAACAACAAGAAATTGTCTTCACATATGTTTCTATTAGATTAGTAAGTTTACTTGGAGATTATATATATAGGTATATTTTCTGTTGTAATAACTTAGCTAATAATCAATTCGACGCTTAACAGTCAAAAGAGAGTTTATGATGTTAATTTGTCACCATAACTTTCAAGAAACTTGATTACAATAGCAACGATTTTTTTTTTTGTCACTTTTCATCTTTCTAATAAGATGAAATAGCACAAAATTTATGTTGCTTGCATTGTTTAAATTCTAATTGATATTTATATTCCATATATTATATCTCACTCGTATAAATCATAGTATTTGTCAATATCTCTTCATGTGGAGGAGTTTGTTGCTATTGTCAAACAGAAAAAAAAAAAAAAATTGCCGGAAATATATCTTCTTGAATTTCTTTAAACTATCTCTGACAGCAACAGAGTTCATTAAAATTTTTCTCAGCTTATTATAATATTAATATAATGTGTCTTTAAAAGCAATAGAAGGAAAGAAAGAGGAAAAAATGTACTTTTGAAAAAAAAAATATAAAAGAAAAAGAACCACTTGTGTTGTTCTGTATTCGTTAAAGAGTGGAAAAATGGATGATGATTGTATTATTGTATTATACGTATTATTATTATTTTATTATTCGCTTGCATATTCTTCTTCATACGTTTTATTGTATGTCTGCAAAACGAGAATAACAATATAAAAGAGAAAAATAAATGTGTATCTAAATATTTTCTTTCGTTCTTTCTTTCTCTTATTTCAAAAGAAATTCTATTTCATGTCAGAAATTTGTATGCTCTTTTCGATGTGGAATATAGAACATAAAGAAACTGTACAATAGTTTTTCACAAGACTTTTAAACATCTGTTATTCTATTTTGAATTCTTCAATATTATTATCCAAATGAATCACCATTTGTCATTTGCAGAGGTAAGAATTTTTTGTTGTTTTTATATTTAGTAAAAGTAAGGACAAAATCCATTTATGTGCACAATCGATCGATTATGGAAAAGTGTGTATATTGATCAGAAAGATAGTTGCAAAATTTTCCATTATCGTGAATGAAGAATAAAAGATCATCAGTAGGGAATTTATAGAAATTTTTTTTTGTTTTTAATAGGGTAGACTCTATACTTTTGATGTTTATCTTCGCCTCCAAAAAACAAGTTAATATAACATACGATATTCAGAAGTTTTTGTTAATTCCATAATTTACCATTTTGTCAGTGACTGAGTGAATAGAACGTGCTGGAGCTACATTAATAAGTAAACTTTTTTTACATTGCATCGCTTAATTACAGACATTTACGGATGTCACTGACAAGAATATGACATTCTTTGTTTTTTTTCAAGAATGATGCATGTTATTTAATCAGACTTAAATGAAAAGGGTAAATGGTTATAAGCAAAAAAAAACAACTATTTATCTACTTGTTTGACTAGTCGATAGATTTAACCCCTGGATTATCTTAACTAATAAAACCCTTATATAAAAAATCTTTTGTATAATAAACAAAACAACAACTGATTTGACTTTAACCAGTAGAGAACAAGTAAGAGTGAAAAAAAAAAATATTTATTTTTTGTTTCTTCAAACATTGAAATTTAGTATTTTGTAAGTACTCAATCGTAGAGAAAAAATGTTAAATACTCGAGTAATATCTTAAAATATATCCTAAAAAAATAAACATTTTTTAACTAAAATATAAAATAGTCTAAAATGAGAACAAAACAAAACTTATGTTAGCCAAGTTAATTATATAAAGCTACGAAATGTAAGTACATACGACATTTACAAATTACTGTTAACTGTAATTAAGCGAATACTGATTAATTTTAAACGTGCTCAGAATATGATGAAGTTAAATTAACGTTAATAATGAGTATCTACTTAGATGAACATTGGATCAACTTATGTATTGTGTTTTGATGTGCTCTCGGTTCAGAAAAACAGTCTGATGTACAGTTCTTTTGCCCCATTATTTAGGATCTCCATATTAGTTTCTGACAAATCAGAGAAACTATGTTATACGTCACGTAGTAAGTATACTTTCAAATGGGCGATACGAGGCACATTTTCAATACTGTATTTCTGAAATATATGAGAATAGTAATAAAAAACTGCCTTGAGAGAGATAAAGATAGTTTAGAGTATTTGAATAATAATTAGAAATAATCACAATTAATTGCTTGTATGGATGCTATTTTATCTCGATTAATTATTATTCTTCATGATTAAAAATCCTTGCATCCCCATGGAAAAGTACATAATCATGCGTATTTTAATCGCAAGACATAGTGTTAATCGTGATTAAAAAGTTCTGTGTAAAAAAGCTACTGTAATCAATGTAAAAGTTGGACGCTTAAAAGGGAGTCAAAATGTCCGCGGACGCATGTTTATTTGACTTATATTATACAATTGTCACATGCTTTGTACATTTATAACTTTGTATAGACTAGTGAATAAAAAATCTTTTATTTCGTACACTTTTATTACATTAGAGAAAAACGTACTTGATCGAATGAAAGTTTTATTGAAATTTATATAACAAATTAAGATTTGTAAATTTTTTTTTCTGTTATGAATTTTTGCTACCTTCTACAAACGTGTGTTCTCTGTCTTGTATTAGCAGATCAAAATGAAATCAAAAGTTCTATTATTTATGTAGTCTGTGCATTCGCTAATGAAAAGGAAAATCTTGAGTGAAGACTAACTGAAGTGTTAAAAAAACAGCGAGTTATTGGTTGAGTAAATTTAACTTTCGGTATTTGATCATACTGAATAATGTTACTGAATCCATATTTTGTGAAAATAAATTTAATCAAATGAGTTTTTTTTTTCTCTCTTTCTTGACAATATAGTCTGTTTTAGTGACAATTAGCAGTTATCTGGCATTGTTCATGACCAAACTCTTGATCAGAAGTAACGTTTTATTGACAATTAATTTTATTCATGATTAATAACATCGTATAAACGTCATTTTTGTAGAACTACTTTCTGCTCGTGTTTAAGAACCATACCCAGTTTTTTTAGTCATTAAGAATCTCAGATAAATATCTTTTTGGATGCCAAACTATCTCAAGATGCAGAAACCAATATAGTCTGTCATAATAAGTTTTGACATTCTCATAACATGACTATTATACAGTCAGTATACATTATTCCAGAAACAAAACAAAAAACTCCAGAAACGTTCGTCTATATCTTAATCTTGAAAAAATTATAATGCCATTTCCGCCAAGTATTATTGACATTTTTTTACTCAACCATCGATATTTCTCTTCTGGGAAGAAAGGAAGTGTGGGAGCTATGTTTGATAGTTTGCTCTTTTATTGCATTCTCTAGTAGTATGATATGTTTTAACATATTAATATAGGCATTATTGTTTCAACACCACTATTTTAAGATTTTCTCGTTCAATAATATCTGATTATGAGTTTATGTTAAAGATTTTTTATTCAATATTTTAAATATAGATTTACTTTTGTTTTTTGAAATTTTCAAAGAGAAATTTCGGTGTCTAGAGCATAATATTAACATTATTATGATTATATAGTGTTTTTGTTTATAATTATAAATAATATGTAGAATCTTCCTTTTTTTCGTTCGCTAACAACAAAGCTAGTTTTATGCCAATATAGTTGCTTTTAAAGAAAAGAATTTTGTTTATAAACAAAATTCTAACAATCAATAATAATTTAGGTGTGCAAATTAGTATTCAAAGGTTGACAAAAAGCCCATCAGCAGATATTTTTATTGCTCTGTCATTTCTTTACGATTTTATTATTATATTGCGCAGTCTACAGATTTGCAAATAAATCTGTTGAATTATAGTTATGATTAGATTTTTGGGTGCTTTTTCTTCTTTTCTGTCATCCATTAGTTTCTAGTATTTATTGATGTAATAAAAACAATGGAAAAGAAAGAATATCCTAAAAATTGTCGTTTGTACTTGAAAATAGATCGATGACAATAACGAGCTAAAGTGTTGCCAAAGGAACCACAAATGATCTATCTGACAATTAATTATCATCAGATAACATAAACAAGAAACATACCGACAGACTAATAGGCAGTGTAGAAATTAAGAACGTTCTTCTTAGATATCAGAATACTCATTTCTACAACATGTGTATAGAAAGAACATTAATCTAGAACTATTACTGGTATAGTTAGCATTTTCTTGTGCTTTAAACAATCGCATGTCAATTTAAAACTTTGTTTACAATTTATCACATTCTATTCGTTTTGGATATTACTTTTTTAGGTTATATGCCAACACTAGTCGATAATCAGCTCAGTTGAATCAACTAACTATGCAGTTTTACCCGAGTTCGATCAAACCTCATTAGAATCTATGTTCTAATGCAAAGATGAAAATACTGATCAGTTTATTCAGCTCTGAATCTTCTTACCAACTCAGAACTGAATGTGCTACAAGTAAAACGCGCTTCCTAAGTCCACAGCACTAGATAGATAGCTAAGTTAAATAAAAGTGCGGACAAGAATATTCATCTCTGATATGAGAAGCAAAATAGAAATAAAATAATTTTTAGTTAAGTTGATTCAGACCGGATAAAACTGCATAGATAATTCAGTTGCTCAGACCGAGCTGATTGTCAACTAGTAAATTTTTATTATTATCATCCTAGTAGAAAAAGACACGTTTCTTTTAGTTTTCAATGCATTTATTAAGAATTGCAGTAATCAATTAATAACCGTAGCTAAAAGCTTCAGAATATATCTCTTGTCAAATGGTTATTTTCCCGGATGCCCCAATACCAGTTAAAAACTGCTGCATACCTAACAGCCATCAATATCCAGAAACGACGCGAGCTACACATTACTTCACTTTCAATGTGAGATTAGTTTATAATTACTAAACATAATGAATGTTGGTCTCACTATTTTGTGAATATCTCATGCAGTTTTTATCGCTCAGATCTCGCCTTTTTTCAAAAGATTCGCCATTCAATTCTCCACAAAAAAAGTAAGAAAAGAGTTTCTACAAAATAGAACCGTGAACTCTATGTGGTGAAGACTGGCACGTTCTGAAAATGCCCTTTTTCAAAGTATATCTTATCGTTCGTTGCATTTCACGTCACCATATGACTAGATATAGAAAGATTGAAGATGTCAATTTGTAGCTCTCAAAAAGCCCTATTAACCGAACGATGATAAAAAAATCCTGGCTTTGAAACGTGTATGAACAGAACGTTTTTCTTTTTTCTCACATTGCTCAAAACGTAACTTTTCACAGTCAAATCTTTGCCAGCTCGAAGGAAAATGCTCTTTCTATCATCGCTAAACGATTTTATGGTGTTCAGTTAGTTTTGCCAACAAATTATGCGTGAGAACAAAATGTTGAATTATTCCAGCTCGTTTTTCAAGGCAAACTGTCGCTGAAATCTCATAATACTATCCAAGCGACTCGTTTCAAGTGCCGTAAGAAAGAGCATCCTTGAAAATAGCGAGAAATGTGCACCACAGTGATTCGGCACTTTATTAGCCAGAGGGAGAAAAAAATGAATATTGGGAAAACGTGCGTTTGAAAACAGGCCTTTTCGGAGCATACCAGTGTTCACCAGATAGAGTTTCACAGTTTCATTTTATGCAAACCCTTTTAATACGTTTTTGTACAGAATTAAATGAGGAATCGTTTGAAAAAAAGGCGAGATCTGAGCGATAAAAACTGCATGAGATATTCACGAAATACTGAGACCTCCATTCTTTATGGGCCACCCGTTATAAAATTAGAAACGTGTTGACGTTTTTTTAGAAGTTAATGACTAACGAAGGAACCATCCCAAGTGAGTAGTCGTTTTAACTATGAAATTACTGTTCTTATATGTAATCGACGGTGCTGATTACGAATGTGAAGTTCGTTTTGACCCAATTTCAGTTTCTAGGCCGGAGTTCAAAAACTGAGGCTTTAGAGACTCGAAAATTAAAGTTATTCAAAAAGGTTCTCTGAGTCAACCATTTTGTATCTCTCATCAAATTACCTCTAATCTGTAAGTTTTAGACTTCCCGATTGAGTTTTAGGGAAGCTACGAATTTTTTAAGTTCAGGTTTACCGTGATACAGTTTTCCCTGTACGAGAACTAAAAACAGTTTTTTGCCGAACTTTCCTCGTTGGTCACTAACTGTCACCACGAATCACTAACTCCTAAAAACGTCAACACGTTTCTAACTTTATAGTTTAATAATTATAAAGATAAACTCTAGTAATTATAAACGTAATCTAGTGGAGTAATGTGTAGTTCGTGTCATTATTTGAATATTAATGGCTGTCAGGTATGTACCAGTTTTTAACCGATGCTGGGACGGTTTCCTCGTAAGATTCGACTGTTACTAGCCGTTATTAAGTATCCATCTGAATATTATTATGTTAGTATAATCAACTCGAACAACTCTGTTGAATTTTGTCTGTATTCGATTTTAATTTGGGACTGTTAGTGAATGTTAGCGTATTGTATCAAATAAGCTAGAATTTTTATTAAAAACATTATAATATGAATTTTTGTGATGTTTATAGTTGTCTCAATAGACGATTTATTTTTCAAAGAAAAAAGATACTGGTCCATTTTGTTTCAATTATCACGTTTTTATTGTTGTGTTCTCAAATTATTTAAAAAATCTTGAATAAAATACTAAATATCTCAGCACTGCATTAACAACACTAAAAACTGTTAATGCATTAACTGTTTCTATTAATTTTTTGAATCATGTTGTTGAACTTCCTGATTTTCTTCTGTAAATTACTTTCGTTTACGCAGTATCTATTTACATATGAAAATTTTGAAATATAGGATAGATATTTAAAGGATTGTAGGAAACATAATTTCATATTCCATTTTTTCTGTTAATGAATTATATTGTCTATTCCAACAGAGAATTTTTAAATAATTGATTGTGTGTATGTGTGTAAAACACAATAATGTATAGAGACAAATCCAAATTATTCATACTATCATACATAAATAAAATGAAAAGAAAAATTTCTTTTTATTTTATTCTCGTTTGCATAGGATGATGCTGATTATTCAATATTTTTCAAAGAAGAAAACATTGGATGAGGAACAACAACGTTTTTTTTTTTCCTATTTTGTTTGAATAAACGCATCATGTGGCATCAAGATAATATTTCCATAAGAAAAATTATTTATGATAATAACTGTAATTGCTTGATAGCTCAAAAGTTTGTCATTCACCGCTTTTTGTTTTTTTTGTTAAAGATTACTTTATTACTTTATTTTTTTTACTATAGATTGTACCACAAGTTGCTTCTCACATGGATAATATTAGTAAGATGAAGAATGTTATTAAATTACCAACATCAAAAACACCACAAACACCAGGTATACATTAAAAATAATAAAAATTATTCTTAACAATTTGTCAATATTCTATTTTTAGCTGAAAAATCAGCAGCAAAAATTCAGAATGCATTTCGTACACATCAAGCACGTTTAAAATTAAAAAATCAAGCAGCTTGGCAAATTCATGAAAAACTTGAATATGCAAGCGAACAAACTGAGAGTAAAGTATGTTAAATAGAATTGTTGCTCTCATCGATACAATGACATAATTTACATTTGTTTAGCTCAAAGATATGTTTGAAAAATTATTGAAAGCATCATCATCCTTGTCTCCTTCTGTTTCGAAATTATTACATAAAGCAAGTCTACCAGTAGGTGTGTTAATTTCTGTTATTCTCTCATTGTTGTACACTGTTAATTCTTTTGTAAAATTTTTCTACGACTATTTTGTTAGAAATAGAAGTGTTCAGTTTTACAGTTGAATATCAAGCGGTTTGGGTTCATTTTAACTTTTCTTCTCTCTCAGCACATTGAGAAATGAGACTGACGTGTTTAATGAAAAGTGAAATGGAAATTTTTTACTTCGAATCGGAGGAGAATAATTGTTGATGTTTTGTATATCTTTTGGCGTAGAAATTTTGGTTATAACTGTCTTTTTCGTTTAGAAATGCACTAAAAATTTTTATTTTGCCTCCTTTCCATCGGAAAATGATTTTAAATTAGGGCTACATATTGACAAGAAAGTTTTGAAATTTCAACTTGAAGTTCAGAAAAAATCAAAAATAACTCCTACTTAGAAGTTTTCTAAATTCGTCTGCAATCAGCAATATGCAGCGCTTTTTCTGTAATCTAATAAAGGATGTGTAGAATTTTTATGTGAAACTCATTTATTTTTTCTGGAGAGAAGTATTTTTAATCAAAACCAATATGATATTTGTCTTGAGCAGCTTATCAATCTACCATTGAATCATATACGAATGGAAATTTTTTTAAAGAAACAAATGCAAATATCAAATTTTTGTCTAATTTTGACAGAAAAGGCTAACGAGAAAGATCCCCAAGTGTGCAATCGCTTTTTGCTTGAAATCTAGTGGACAATAGGTAATCGACTGCGCTATATCCGAATCTGAAATCAGTTTGTGCTGCTAGGCCTCTAGAGACCGGGTTTCTGGAAAACCAGCTTTTCAGAAACTCTAAAAAATAACCAAAATCTTTCTTAATGAGGCATGATTGTACCCCACAAATCTCTGATTAAAATGAGATATCTCTCAGCTCAACACAACCTTTCTTTGCAAAGTTATACAATTTACAAGAAAAGCCCTAAATTAATTTCTTCTTATTTCTGTAGCTTTGAGCTGACAATGAACATTTAGGGCATTTCGTGTAAATTCTATAACTTTGCCAAGAAAGGTTGTGTTGAGCTGAGAGATATCTCACTTTAATCAGAGATTTGTGGGGTACAATCATGCCTCATTAAGAAAGGTTTTGGTTATTTTTTTAGTTTCTGAAAAACTGGTTTTCCAGAAACCCGGTCTCTAGAGGCCTAGCAGCACAAACTGATTTCAGATTCGGATATAGCGCAGTCGATTACTTATTGTCCACTAGATTTCAAGCAAAAAGCGATTGCACACTTGGGGACTTTTCCTCGTAAGAGTTTATTTTGATGAAGATTGGTCGAATTGTTGAACACTTTTGCTCATACAGTAGTTATTTTCAGCGTATAACTACGAAACTTTCGAAGAATGTTCCATATTTAACCCCATGATGACTATTTTTGTTTTTTAATATTCTTAGAAGAAAAAGAACTTCTTCGTTTAACAAATCCGGATGATATTGTTGTTGAATCAAGTTATCGTGGTCCACATATTCAAGGTCCAATTACACGAAAAATATTCGTAGATTTAATCGAAGCATTTCAAAAAGGACAAGTAGGTTCAAATGAAGCCAAACTTACATTGAATATAGAATTTATTCATCTCTTTTTTTCTTCTCATCTCAATGTGTCAGATTTTACATGAAAAATATGTTTGTGAAATTTTACATCAAGGTCGTACAATTTTAAAATCCTTACCAAATTTTAATCATATTGATTTAGCTAATTTAAAACATGTATTCATTGTGGGCGATTTACATGGACAATTACAAGATTTATTACATATATTTAATTCAGTATGTTCATTTTATGATAAATTAAATTTATTTTAAATATTTTTTTATTTTAAATATTTTAGAATGGATTACCGACAATAGATAATGCATACGTTTTTAACGGTGACTTTGTAGATAGAGGAAATAATTCAGTCGAAGTTATTCTAATATTAATCCTAGCCCTCATACTTTATCCAAGTTCAGTATTTTTAAACAGAGGCAATCATGAAGATATTATGGTTACAGTCAGGTTAGTTGAATAAATAATAATATTTTAATAAGAAGAAAAGAAAATACAATAAAAAAATTTTCTTTTCTATCAGATATGGTTTTCATAATGAAGTCAATCGAAAATATCGTGTAAGTGTTCAATTTTCAATCTTTTTGTCAATCAATTAAGGAAGAATTTATGTTTTTATTTAGAATCGAAAAGCTCCCTTGTTAGATTTATTCAAAGACGTATTTAGTTGGTTAGTATAGAAGATCATGTGGAAATGAGAAGAACACGAAAAATCAAAACCCGTATCTTTAAACTCTATTTTAGGTTACCATTATATTCTTACGTTGATGCTGGTAAAGCAAAATTAATTATTATGCATGGTGGTATTTCAGATCGAATTAATTTAAAAAAGTTAAATAATTTACCAAGAAATAGAGTAAGTTACTTTCTGATATGTAAAACAATTTGTTCTTATTTTCTAATAAATTTCTTATCATTTAGTATGTTTCAATTGAAGTTCCACCAGAATCAAAACAAGGTGGAAAACGTTTAACAGAAGAAGAAGATCTGGAATATCATCAAGTACGCTCATAGGAAAAACAAATAATCTTCTAGATTTTAAAAATTTTAAATTTTTTTAAATTAATAAGAATCAGTAGTATGTGAGTTTTAGAAATGTGTATCATTTACTTACGTTCTATTTTGTGAAAACTTCCTAGGACTTGTCCGTTTTCCGAAGGAAAAGGAACTTTGAAGTATAAAGTTTATATACGAGGATTTTTGTGGTTTTCAGGGGGAGGGGAGGGGATTGTCAGTAACTGTAAACTTTTGGGGTGAAACTGTGATCGACCAAATTTTAATATAAATTTGGTATTTACAGCTACTGAATGAACTAGTAACAGGCAGTGTATTATCGATCTGATGTTGTTAGACACAAGTTTTAAAACGTATTACCATATCTCTCCATATGATCAGAAAAAAAGCTATTAAATAGAAGTCTCTCTCGCGCGCTACTATTCTTATTTAACTTCCTTCTATTTATACATCTTCTATGTTATAGCCCAACAGTTCAATAGGAACTTTTCATATTTTTGCTTCATAGAAGCAATGCTGACAAACTTTTATATCGGAAGATATATTTTATGTGACATTTTTCTTTCGTTAGATTCAAGATTTATTTTGGAGTGATCCAGATCCAAAAGGACGTAAAGGTTGTCGTCCGAATGATGATCGTAAAATGGCATGTTTTTTTGGTAGCGATGTAACAAATGCTTTTATAAAAAAATACAATTTATCAATGATTATACGTTCACATCAAGTTAAACAAGATGGTTATGAATATGCTCATGATGGAAGAGTATGATATTTATTAATTATTATTGTTTTTATTGTTATTTATTATTTTTTTTTGTTAGTTACTCACTGTTTTTTCTGCATCAAATTATTGTGGTGGAAATAATTGGGGTGCAGTTGTTCGATGGGATTTTAATGAAGAAGAACCGTGGATAATATCGTTTAAAACAGAGGCAGTTGATTTAGATAAAGTTAGTTTTAATAAAAAGTATGTATCTCTCTCTATGATGACGATTATAAAAATTTTATTTTTATTTTTTATCTTTTATTATTATCATTTTATTTTTATTTGACTAGAGTAACATTATTCGAAGATCCAGCTTATCATTCATTAATAGAAAAAATTTTGTCAAATAAAAGTCAACTATTACAAGAATTTGAAAAAGCAGATAAAACTAAAAGCGGTTTGTTTTTGCTACTTTAAAATTCATCTTATGTATTATTTTTATTCTATTTTTGTTTTTCAAGAACGTTTACCGTTAACAACGTGGTCAGATATTATGACAATAGTATTGATATTAGACTTACCATGGTTAACATTGAGAACGAGATTAGTACAAGAAGATGGCAAAGGAATTATTTATCGTAGTATGTTTGATGACTTTGTTATTAGTAATCCAAAATTTCAAATGCAGAATGCGGGTATCATGGAGGATTTATATTATTATAAAGATATGTTATTAGCATTATTTAACTTAATCGATTATAATCATTCAGGTAAACTTCGATTGTTGTTCCTTTTCTTTTTTTATTTTGTATTCTTTGTGGATTATATTAAATATTGTTTTCTTATTTAGGTTTTATTTCTCGTAACGAATTTGCTGATATTATTCGTCTTTTACTCGCAGATGAAAATGAAAATGGTGTTAATGATAAAGTATCGAATATAGTGAATGATGAATATATTGAAGAACTTAGTTCAGCAATGGATTTTGATAAAAATGGAAAAATTGATTTTAATGAATTTTTAGGTAATGTGTTACAACATGCGTGTCGATATTTAATGGAAAATATTTCATCAAAGTTGTCATTCTATCAGTAGTTAATCACTCACCACATATTTAGTGAACATTGTTCTACAAAATGAAGATAGAAGAGAATGTTGAAAATAATTATTTTAAACTATACGTATCTCCTTATCTGTATGTTCATTCTATCTTTTGTGTTTAGAAAGTTTTCGTATTGTCAATGTTAAATCTCAGCAACGTCAATCACATTCCAAACAATCAACTCCCTCGTCTAGCTCATCACCATTGAAATCATCGATTTATGCAAATGGAAAAAAGGGCAAATGAAATCAAAAATACAATGTTGTCTATATTTGTGCTCTTTCCTCTTCTGTCTCACTCTTCTACAAACATTCCTTTTCAAATACTATCTCTGACAAATTTTCAGCGAACAAATTGTATATTTATTATTCTTTTGTAATTGCTTGTTAAATGTATTTCAATTTGATACGTTTATTTTTACTATACAAGCAGAATAATAAATTGGTTATTTTATAAGATAGCACATTGCGTTGTTCCATAAAATAATGAATTATTAAGTAGAAAAAATCAACCTACCATCATATGTTAAGTGGAAAAATAAAACTTGCAGCCAATTTCCTCTCAAGTCTGTATTTGTAGATTACGACGCCAACGCAGATATTAATCTTAAAGTAAATCAAACTAATAGGACGAATTAATGTCTTTTTTGCTATGGTCTTGATTGACTGGCTTGACTACAAAGTTTATAACTGAGATTGAAGTATGCCAACTTTGTACGAGCCCAAGAAAGAACATTTTTATTAAAAATTAATGACAAATGTAGAAGTTTTCGATTCGATACTCTAATCATTATCAGCCGCATACAATATATACAGTTCTCAGTACTTCTTCATTCTAACTTTGCAAAGCTATAGTTCCTATTAATACCAGTTTTACATTTTCGTGCTTGATAGTTAATCTAACGTAAATAAAAACCAGTGTTTGTTGACTTGCAATAAACTGTTGTTTTTTCATATTTTGTCCATTGTCGTTTGACTTTAATATATGTGAAATTGATTATTCATAATCCTGTTCATATTCGCATGTGACCTTCGTTTTAACATGTAACACTGTACTGTTGCTTCATCTTGCAAAATTTAAGAAAAGGTAGTGTGAAGATTGTAAAGTATAAAGGGTAGTCAAGAAGTCTTGAAATCATTTTTCTATTAAACTTTTATCTATATTGACTTGTGTTTATAAATTTAATATTTAGCTTAAAAGAGAGAGAATTTAATTCTCTAGGAAACTGTTGATTTTATTTTGAAAGTAATTTTGAATCATCACTGTGGAAATAAAAATACTGAAATGTTACGTTATGAAAATTGATCACCTATCTAACTGAAGTTCTTCTTAGGGTATCTGACTAAAAAAGATTTATTCATCAAAACACAATACACCATTAAATTCAGCGAGAAATTGTGGATAAATTCCTATATTTCATGTTTAGGATAGTCCATCTAATATTATTTTACACTTTTAAAATTAAATTTAGAATTTTATTTTTTGGTGTATGCGTTCTTGTAAAGTGAGAAAGTCTGCATCTTCTCATACAGAATGCATGGCTTTAAATTTTGAGTTTGAAGGTAAAATGCCGATAATATGGATTTTCTACGTAAGTCAGTCAATTTAGAGCTTTCCTTCTCTCAAAAAAGAATAATCATTTAACACAAATAGTGTACAACATAAAATTCTGCATCTTTTGACATTAAAATAATTATCTGTAAGTTGAATTGAGAGATCAGCTCAATGGCTGACCGTTTCAGGTCGTTTACATAAGTAGAGATCATCTGCTGAATTTTTAAGTACACATCTCTATATAAATCGGCTACTAGCGTAGAAAAATCAGCTCTTATCCGATGAATAGTAATATCCGCCATTCTATCAATACCTTTAACAACAGGTATTCTCCTCAGCGCGCTATAGTGTTTCGATATTCCTTCCTTAAAACTACTTTTCTTTAAAATCTGTCTTAACTGTATAGGCGAGGTATTCCACAACTTTTTCGTCTGAGGAAAAAATGATAAATGTGATTGCGCGCTTTTTCCCAAAATTAGTTAACCAATGGTAATTTATTAGACTGCGGTACACATTATTGCGTGAAGATAGACGAGGGAGTTGATTGTTTGAAATGTGATTAATATTGCCGAGATTTAACATTGACAATACAAAAACTTTCTAAAGACAAAAGATAGAATGAACATACAGATAAGGAGATAAGGGAGCATTTCACAATTCTTGCCGTTCTCTCTGCCGCGGCATAACGGCTTTATTTTAATGACATTTCGATATTTCTTTTGATGTATGTATACGCATACATGAAATTTATTTTGGTACATAGATTTATTGAAATTCTCTTTAGGATTTACGATTTTCTTTTCGCTTCTTGTGTCATGGCGAAAAAGACAAAATTTCCGTTCTTTTTATTAAATTTTCGTACAATTGTCTTTTGTGTCAGAAAAATACGTTTAAACCGAACTTATGATAGACGAAAAAAAGACGACACTTCACAGTATCAGAACTGACGTTCTGATTTCACCTTTATGCATGACACCGTCCTTAAAAATTTTTATTTTCATTGTTTCTTGCGTTGCAAAGTAATCGAGATTGAAGCTTCGCAGTATTTCTTCTATATTCTTCTATCTTTACGGTATATAGAAAACTGTTTAATATGTTCTTTGTAGAGAATTTCACGACACATCTTTTGAGAAAATAATGAAGCTTGGGGGATAAAATTCAACTGAGATATGAGCAAAATACTAAGTGACCGATTTATTCTGAAGCACCTGTTATATATACAATGTTAAATATTACCAGAAATCTAATAATTAGTAATACTTTTATTAAATTTTGTCCTTATTCGGTTGCATTTTTTATTCAGTAATTCTTTATATTGATTACTTGTACGATATTTTGTATTGAAAACTATGACTGTGAATATCGTTGATTATCGTTTAAAAAAGCAAGTTTTCGAGACAAGTAAAAGTAAAAGAAGTCTCAGCAAGTCGAGGAAAGAAAAACTTGCTTTTTTAAACGATATTCACAGCTATGTTTCTGAAAGACTAAAAGGGGTCCTTTTCTAAAATACAGATCAGTTTCGTGTACAACTTGTGTACTTTAAACTAGTATAAAAAATGGGAATGGGTCTTCTATAATTAATGTAATTTTAGTTCGCGAAGTTGGTGCAATACGAAATAAGTTTACAGTGGGTATTCTCCTCCTTGAATATATAAAAGATGAACATTTGATGAAAATATAAAGTTTGTGCCTTTCTGATTTTATTCTTTAAACAGAAAAATGTCTGTTAAAAAGACGAACACATTGGAGTATATATATGCCGATGTATGTATTCACAATACAATCAAAGGAACCGAAATTATACAAAATAAAATAAATTATAATTTAAATTTTGACATGCTCCCTAATCAATATAAAGAATTACTAAATAAAAAATGCAATCGAATAAGGACAAAATTTAATAAAAGTGAAGAAGAACATTAAAAAATTCAAGCTCGAAAATCAAGCTCGATACATATAAACTATATATAACAAAACTAGTATACAATGCAATGTTCTATAATAGAGGACTAATAGGGGAATAGTCGGAGAATAGAGGAACAGCGACCGACCGGAATATATTCTGAAACGTTCCCTAAGGAGATATACCTCGACGCATGTCTTTTTAGGCGCACCAGCCGTCAGTCGTTATGTGCGCAGTAGAAAATTCCATCTAGTTGAAAATCAACCAAATTTACCTGACCATGATTTCCCAAGACATGGTATTAGAATCAATCCATCTGCATATGTTGTATTATCAAATCAACGTAAACGTTCATCTAGTGTTGATGGTCATATGAATTAAAGGTCAAAAAAGGTTATCAACAAATAACCTTGGAACTGAATTTTTATTGAAATCGTTCGTGGACATCTACTCTACATTTTTCTTACCATACACCTTTTCCTTCCCAGCAAGAATCCTCTGGGTATAATATCTTTTAACCGACTGATCTAGGTCTAATCGAGTACGAGGTTGATCACTAAGTCATCGAATCCGACGTTGAATAATATACTATAGAACAGATTAACCGACTGATTGTGAGATAGATGGAAGATCATAAACTTGGTTAATCGACCGAGTGAACGAACTACCGGCTGACAACTTGGTTGCTACGTTGTTCTGTTCAAAACATCGATGATCTCTCTCTTTCAGCTAAATGATCGTTTTTTATTTTTGATTGAGTGGCGCCCTCCCTCTAGTAGAAGTTGTCTTTTGCATTTCTTGATAAAATCTTGACTCATGAAATATCCCATTTTCTTATTTGTGTCTTTTGCTGAATACATTGTCAACCAAAACTATTTATAAAATGACAAGGATATTAATCAGCAATCTTTTAAGAAATTAAACGTTTATACCTTTCATAGGTGAGTGAGTAGTTTAATGTTGTCGTTTTTTTCCTCTTCAACTTGTTGATTAAAAGAAAATCAAAAATTTTCTTTTGTTTGTTGAGATTATTGCCATTTTAACTAAGTATTACTATTTTCAATTTTTTAAATGATGCATATTGTCAATGATCTTGAGAGAAACAAACGAAAACAGTTTTTTCATTTTGTTTTTACTCCTTTTACCTTATATTAAAAATAAAATCAATTCATCTACGTATATTTTGGCAAAAAGTAAACGTGTTATATTTGTTACACATACATCATTCAAGGAGGAGAAACAAATATATATCGAACTAATTAATCCGGTTTTTTACTTACAAGGATTCAGTAATTTGGTTATAACAAGAATAACTTTTTTATATGCATCACGTTTAGATTAGATAACGCTGAAACAATGGCGATGAGAACGTAAGTACTTTGCTTTCTTTCTCTATTTTCCATATTGCCAACGATAAATCTAGTCTAAGTCGACTTTGATACTGATTTCTGCTTATAGTTAGTTGTATGTTTTTGCTACTAAATAACCGTGCGAGTGTAAGCATTCAGTTTTTTTCTTCAGTATATTTATAAGTAGAACGAATTTTTTTCAGATGGAGATGGAATCTTAGGCAAATAGTATCTCAAAATCAAAATAACACTCAAAATAACCTCCACATTTTCTCCAGTATAGAAAATAAAATTTTATTTCAAACAAGAACTTAACAATTATCACTCACTAAAACACAGTCCCGACACGTACCACTATTATCGAGACAATCGATACTAAAAATCGTCTAAGACCGAAATGCAGGCTCTAAAATTTTAGTTAGATCCAACTTGGTCAAAAA